ATGAACAACAAAATCGAAGCAACGGTTATAACTGGCCAATATAAAGGAACGGATGTCTTACTACCTCGGATCCCAATGACAACATCGGAAATGCCATTCGACTTTAAAACGGTTGGAATTTCCTATACGTTTGGCATTCGCAATGGCAATAAAGAAATCTCAGGGTCAATCCCTGCAAGTGTGTGGAAAAAATCTCGAAAATCCATGCTTCTCACATGGTCGACTTTATGTTGCATGCTTGCGAGTTGAGAAACCTTCAGATTTGTATATCTACGCGCCTGAGGGGAAAACGAAAAATATTGCATATCCCAAGGCTTTAGAATAGGATATAATTATTAAGAAAAATTTCAATTGTATTAAGTCAATTAGTAATTTTGTACATTTTATCTGGGAAACTATTAGATTATTCAAAATGTTCATGGGTTACATTTAAATCTTAATTAACGTTTAGAAAAATTAGCGAACTTGCAATAATTTGAATGACTCATTCTCATCTCATTCAATCTCATTATATATATATATCTATATAAAAACTATTATAGTTAGTTAGGGGTTTTTTATTTTTATACCCTACACCACCTTAGTGGGGAGGGTATATTGGGTTTGTGCTGATGTTTGTAACATACAAAAATATTCGTTTCTGAGTCGATTATGCTATGTGCGTCCGTCCGTCTGTCCGGCTGGCTGTCCATGTAAACCTTGTGCACAAGGTACAGGTCGCAATATTCAAGATAATTGGATAAAATTTGGCACACACGCTTTTTTTGGCCCAAGGACGAAGCCCTTTCGTTAAAATCGGTCCATTATTTCACCTAGCCCCCATACAACAGAACCTCCTGAAAAGGGCTTCTGAGCTCATAATCATGTTAAATATACCTGTATATCGATAAAGAGCTGCACAACTAAGTTTTATACAATTCTTAATGACCTTGCCAAATTTCATAAAGATCGGGCCTCATTTGACCCTAGCTCCCATACAAACTCCACTTCCGAAAATTACTTGAATGTCCAAAATGAACTTATAAACACAAATATCGGTCACGCCCGACTATACTTTCTTACTTGTTTATATTGTTTTTAGGGTAGCAAAGCAGACTGGGTATAGCTAGTATATTATAAATTTCTTTGTAATTTTGTTTATTTGTTTGTGCGTCAATCACGCCTGAACGGATGAACCGAGAATATATCTGGAAGCGTCAATAAGCTATATTACTTTTTGAAAATTGGACTAGAAGGGGGTAAAAAATGGGTGAAAACGACGAAAAAAGGGCAAAATTGGTACTTTTGTGCATAAAATTTTTTTTGTCTATTCTAATGCGAAAATATTTTCGATTTAGCATGTCAGGGAAAAGGGCGAAAAACTGCGAAAATCGGTACTTTTGTGCTTGAAAACTGATTTTTGTATATTCTATCGCTAAACTATTTTCGATTTAGCTATCTAAAGTGTAAACAAATTGTATGAGCAAAGTTCCGTTGCGAAAGTTATATATATATATATATATATATATATATATATATATATATATATATATATATATATATATATATATATATATATATATATATATATATATATATATATATATATGTGTGTGTGTGTTTGTATGATTGTTTGTTTGTTTGGACTTTATAGACAGCTAAACTGCTGGACCGATTTTTCTCAAATTTTCACTGTGTCTTCCTGTATGTCTGGAATATACATACAGGGCGGAATGGCTATAGTGGGAGTGCCACCTTCCATATGAAAAAAACCTTAAATCAGTACATCTGAGAAAATATAATAGATAGCGTCCTAAAATTTTGGCGGAACCACTTTAGTGTCAATATGATTATTTAAGGAAAAAGGGGGCACACTGTCAGTAGGGGGCGTGGCAGCCCCCATATGAATTAAATACAAAAATTCGCTTATCTGGGAAAATATTAGAGTTACAACCTTCAACCTTGGTACCTCCCATATAAAATAAGTAGAAAAAATCGTATGTCTGCGAAACTATTAGAGCAAAAGTCCCTTGACATCAATGTGAAATTTTTTCTTGTTGGTAATAAATTGGCGGACAAGCAAATTGGAACCTCCCATATGAATTAAATAAAAAAAATCATATATATGAGAAACTATTAGAGCTAGAAAACTATATATATGAATTACATACAAAATTTCGTACATCTGGGAAACTATTATATTATTCAAATTATTCATAGGTTACATTAAAATATAAATTAAAATTGGCGAACTTGCAATAATTTGCGTGGCATCCCCAAAATGTAAAAAATGTATATCTGGAAAACTATTGTAGTTACAATTTTTAAAATCGTTAAGTGTTTTTTTCAGGGACCGAAATAATTGTAATTTTTTTCTTTCGAAAGAAAAAGGTACGCGAAAATCACTTTATTTTATTTAGGGACTTTTTAACCATTATTGTAAGATTTATGTATATGATTTAGGTCTCCGTAACCAATTAAAATGAGAAATATGTTTTTTTGGTTATGAATAACTATTATTTAGCAACCAATATTTTTTTTGGTTATAGATAGCCAAAATTTATTTAATTTATTTTTTGGTTCATATAAATATTAACGGAATAAAAAGGCAAATTAATTTAAATTATATTTTATTTAAAAAATAAATAGATATTTGTAGCAAAACTAGCCGTTTTATTTACTTTGCCAAAGATATTTGAAAAAAAAAAACAATTAAGAGTGCTATATTCGGCTGCGCCGAATCTTATATACCCTTCACCATAGTGTATTTAAAAATATCAATTTTATAAAATTTTAATTTACATATGTATTTCATTTTCCCGACTATATCATTATTATAGCAAAAGCAAAACATAATGAACAACAACAATGCTAAACGAAATAAAAACACAAAAAACAAAATACACAAGGCAGGCAAACCAACAGGCATCCAAACAAACGAAACGAAATACATAGACAAACAAAAACAAAATACACAACGTAATGAAACCAACAGACATCCAAACATACGGAACTGAATTCACCTAGAAACAAAAACAATATACACAAGGCAATGAAACACACAGCCATCCAAACATATGAAACGAAATACTCAAAAAAAACAAAAACAAAATACACAACTCAATGAATAAGCAGTGTTGTTGTTGCTTATTTTTTATGAAAATTTCAGAGGTTGTCTCGGATTTTTGCTTATATCTCCGTTGTTTATGAACGGATTTTGCTGATTTTAAATAGGAAACTTCTGATGTCTGATAGAATTATTGAAGATTTGGATCCCCAAAATATCTGGGGTCGTCAGAAAACTGATTTCAACAGACAGACAGACAGACGGACATGGCTTAATCGACTTCGCTATCTATAAGGATTCAGAATATATATACTTTATAGGGTCGGAAAATTATATTTTGGAAATTACAAACGGAATGACAAACTTCTCACGAAGGTGAAGGGTATAAAAATATAACCAATAAAAAAATGTTGGTTACGATAATTGTTATTCGTAACCAAAAATATATATTTTTCTCTGGTATTGGTTACGATGACCAAAATCAAATATATCTTATAATAATAGTTATTAATAACACTTATTTTAAATCCATCACTATTAATTTTTAAATGAGACCTTATCATATTATACCCTACACCACTATAGTGGGGAGGGTATTATGCGTTTGTGCTGATGTTTGTAACACACAAAAATATTGGTCCTACACCCACCTTTAAGTATACCGATCGACTCAGAATCACATTTTGAGTCGATTAAGACATGTCCGTCCGTCCGTCTGTTCGGCGGGCTGGCTGTCCATGTAAACCTTGTGCGCAAGGTACAGGCCGCAATTTTCAAGATAATTGGATGAAATTTGGCACGCACGTTTTATTTGACGAAGCCTATTGAAAATGGTTAAAATCGGTCCATTATTTCACCTAGCCCCTATAGAACAGAACCCCCCGAAAAGGGCTTCTGAGCTCATAATTATGTTAAATATACAGATATAACTAAGTTTTATAGAAGTCTTGATGACCCTGCCAAATTTCATAAAGATCGGGCCCCATTTGACCCTAGCTCCCATACAAAGTCCTCTTCAGAAAATTACTTGAATGTCCCAAATTAACTTATAAACACAAATATCGCGATGAAATTCAGCACAATAAAATATTATGTAAATATAAATATATTCACAAAATTTTATCGGGCTTGGTCCATATTTGCCCCTACCCCCCATATAAAGCCTCTTTCAGAAAATTAGTTTTTCATCCATAAATTGCTTAAATGTATCGGAACTAGGGAATATTGAAGATAAATGCTTTATTATGAAAAATAAATCACATTTAATATTCATAACTGGTGTAGGGTATCATATAGTCCGCCACGCCCGACTATACTTTCTTACTTGTTTTATATACATACATTGATTTTAGGGTAGAAAAGCACACTGGGTATAGCTAGTATTATATACATATGTGTGAAATTTTGTGGTGATACCGATATTTTCGCCGAAGTTATTAACGATAAATCTATTTCCGAGAACATGTACCTTTGTATGGAGGCTATGGTAAATTTTGAATCGATTGTTTTGAGTCTGAACATATTGGATCCTTGGGCAAAGAAAGTAACGTGTGACGAAATTCATCCATTTCTGAGAACACTACTTAAGAATTAGGAAAAAAACTTCATTTTTTTCGAGATAGTCTGAAATTTTTACTCATAACTTTTTGCGTTGTAGACCGATTTATAGTGAATATTCAGTATATATATATGTATGTATATATATGTATATATTTGTATATATTTTTGCACATATCTCCGTTATTTATGATTTTGCGATTTTAAAGTTTTAGAAAGCATGTCTGATAAAACGCGTAGACGGTAGATGTACTCCTACATACTTTTAACTCGAAGTACTATTGATTAAATTCGCCTATTTCGGAAAATACGATAACATTAATTTATTAAGCTTGTTTCTATTATTTGTGTCTGTATTGTATGTCGTCTTTTCATGCGAAATTTTACTTTAAATTACCTCAGTTGATCTCTTTCTTGCATCCATTTATGTAAGCATATCTTTGCGGAATCACATTCATTATCCTGATTCTCTTCAATTAATTGAGTTAACATTTGCAACCAATTTGCTGTTGATTTAAATTCTTCTGTATTCAGTGTTTTTATTTCATGCTAAAATATAAAGAAAAAGATAAAAAGTATTAATAGAATTTATCGTTATTTTGTTTTTTATCATTCAAAATTAAAAAAAAAAGAATCTTATATACCCTTCACCATAGTGTATTTAAAAAATATTAAACGTATAAAATTTAAATGTATTACATTTTCCCAACACTATCGTTACTTTAGCAAAACAAAAGGAACAACAGCAACGCTAATCGAAATAAAACACACAAAAAAACAAAATACACAACGCAATGAAACCAACAGCATCCAACCATACCAAACAAAATACACAACGCAATGAAACCAACAGCATACTACCATACCAAACAAAATACACAACGCAATGAAACCAACATACATCCAAACATAAATCTTTTTCCAATAAGCAGTGTTGTTGTTGCTTATTTAGCAATGCATGCAAAAAATTTTCTTTTTTTGATGAAATTTTCAGAGGTTGTCTCGGAGTTTTCTTATATCTCCCTTAATTATGGTCGGATTTTCTGATTTTAAATGGGAAACTTCTCGAAAGCATGTCTGATGAGGTCTTCAGAAAACTGATTTCAACAGACACACAGACGGACAGACTATCTATAAGGATTCAGAATATACATACATATTATGATACTCTTAAACAAACTCATTTTAAAACAAAGGCATCCAAACCTCTTATAGTCGATCTTTCCTTTTGTTCAACAATTCCACTTTAAATGGATGAGAATTATCTATTAGGTCCTTAAATAGCGATTCTATGGAATATTTATTTACACTTTAAACCAGTGAACATTCAAAAAATATTTTTGACTCCTTTATAACTTGATGAAAAAATAAAAATATTAATTCAGTATTTTTAGGATATTCGGACGTTTAAAGGGTGAAAATTTTACCTTTTTTTGGTACATTTTTATAAAACTTTGTTTCCTATGTATTGATTTGTACATATGAATGAATACTTAATGAAGGGCTCCCACTGCGATATTGCAACTTTTTGTAATAAAATGTTTATTACTTCTAACTAACATTCTCATGTGAATGCCCCAATTTTTAAGAATTTGTAATGGCCGTTTAGGACAAAAGACTTGACAATAGTATAAATAACTATCGGTTTCTGAGATTTCGAATCTTCAGTATAAAATTTTAATTAATGAATAGAAATCAGTTCGAATGTATTGAATGAATAGAATATAAAACTTTAACATATCTCAATATCCGGCTGAATTTTACAAATACACATAAACAATTTAAATCCGTCACTTTACATGACTTTATTTGTAATACACATTTGAAACAAAGATTGTTGTGGTTATAAAGAAACTAATCCTATAAAGATTTAGATATCAGTTTGTAGTTTCGTATTATGGTACCTCTTCACCTCATAAATTATAATCGGCATTATCAGGAAACAGAGACTCCACCTTGAAAGTATAGCTGCTTGGTGAGACTGCAGCGTCGCAGAGAAAATTCTCAACTTTTATAACTCATACTCCTAACACTCAATTTTAAGAATTATAGGGAATTCGTTGCTAAAGAGGAACCTTTTTATGTCGTAGCTCTCTTTTATTCGTTCAAGTTTTATTTTTGCTTTATGTAAATTAATGATATTTGCTTGGAAGAGTACATAGTTGTATATATAGTTCACTAGCTTTATCCAGTGTGCTTTGCTACCCTAAAAACAGTATAAATAAAAAACCCACTTAACGTTTTTGAAGACTCTAACTACAATAGTTTTCCAGATTTACAATATGTTACATATTAGAGATGCCAAGCAAATTACTGAAAGTTCGCCAATTTCTATCTATCTATGAAAAATTTGAATAATATAAAAGTTTCCAAGATATACGAAATTTTGTATTTAATTCATTTATGCGGTGCCAAGGCCATAATTGAAAGTCCGCCCGTTATTCATTAAATGTTTACATTAATGCCAGAGTACTTCATGTAAAGTTTAAAGATTCCAGCTCTAATAGTATCTCAGATATAAGAATTTTTCTATTTCCCTTTTTTCTCTAAAATGTTTAGATAAATATTAAAGTAATTTGTGCAAAATTTGAAGAATCTAGTTCTATTAGTTTCCCAGATTAACGAAATTTTGTATTTAATTCACATGGGAGGTGCCAAGTAACCCATTGAAAGTTCACTCTAATTGTTCAGATGAATGTCAAAGTTCTTCATGTAATATTTGAAGATTCTAGCTTTAACAGTTTCTCAGATATACGAATGTTTCTATTTAATTCATATGGGGGCTCCCAGCCCCCCCAGATGAAAGTCCGATCTTTTTCATCCAAAATGTTCAGATGAATATTTAAGTTCTTAGTGCAAAATTTGAAGAATTTAGTTCTATTAGTTTTCCATATAAACAAATTTTCGTATTTAATAAATATGGTAGGTGCCGCTTCCCTCATGGGTAGTCCGCCAATTTATTTTCCAAAATGTTTACATGGATGTTAAAGTTATTCGTGCAAAATTTTAAGATTCCAACTGTAATTGTTTCTAAGATAAACGAATTATTGTATTTAATTTATATGGGATGCTAGCCCGCCTAAATAATCATATTGACACATAATTTGAGGACTCTAACTGTTATATTATCTCAAATATACGGATTTAATATTTTCTTAATATGGGCTCGGCTCCTCGCCCACTTGAAATTTCAAAATAAAAAGTAGCCTATTACCTATTCTAGACATACAGGAATACGCTGTGAGAAAATCGGTTCAGCCATTTAGTACTCTATTATGTTCAAACATATAAACATACAAACAAACACACATTCATTTTTATATACATATATAGATTTTTATATAGCATTTTAGGGTTTGTGTCTTGGATAATCAGAAAAAACACTGGAAAAGAAAATCATCATTATTATATACATTAATAATTGAAACAAGAGAAATAAAACAATACCTAAATAAAATTTTCATAATTAATTTTTTCGAAAATTATTTTTTATCAACCTTTTTCACCTAGAATAGTAAAATATTCAAGAATGTTTGAAAAATAAACATCTTATTCTTTCTCCTAAATATTTTCATAGTTTCTAAAGTAATGATTTGGTTGAAATAAACATTATTGTCAGTAGTTTAATAATATAAATGGGAGAAATGGTTTCAAACTTTTAAAATATAATTCTCAGCTAAATAAAGTAAGTTTAGTTAAATATTTTAAAGTTTACTTAAAAAGAAGAAATACTATTTGTGTAGTAAATATTTGTTTGATAAAAACAACTAAATGTGTTACTTTTTATTTTTATTAATTAGTTGAAATCATTTATTCTTGTTTATTTTAATATTATCTAGGGAATTGACTAAGTCCTTCTTTCTGCTGGTAATTTGATTTCCCAGCAATCAATATTTGAAAGTTACTTGTATGATCGACGCCTAGATTGATCACATTAAAGAAGTATTGGCTGAGACATAACCCCAAAAACCTACCGGCAGATCAATTCCTGTGCTGTTTTGTAAGGGAAACTGGTAGATAACCTGGCTCAAATCAACACCAAATGCTAAGCCAATATGGAAATTAAAAACATTCAGAATAGTCAGCATATACATACATTAAATTGCCAGTATCGTTTTTTAACTATCACATTTGATATAAGTTATAACTTGAATATTTATCTTAAATCCTAATACCGATCATTAACAAGTGTTCATAATCTGTATTGCATTATGCAATCAAATTCTAAATTAATCCAAACCGATAGTTATCAAACTAAAAATCGTATTATACATTACCCGGTTTAGAAGAACACAATTGAATCTACTTAACCTAAATCATAATATGAAAACGTGAATACAATTTATATTATTTAATAACTAATATATATTGTAACGAGGTTTATTTTCTTCGCTTTAGCCAAAGGAAAAGATTTTTGTTTTATTTATTTTAATTTAAAAAATTTAAAATTTATTCATTTAATAATTTTGTGTCGTATATCTGATTCCCGAGAGGTAATGAATCGTCTTTTTTTATCGTGTTCTTCTTCTTTTCGTTTTTCACACATCGTTTGCATTATTCGGAGTAATTGCAAACGTAAACGAATCGTTATGTTAAACGGCTTAGTAGTTGTGGCTAAAAAAAACAGTTACATTACCCCCTCCTCAGACTCGAGACTCCTGTCCGAGTTCAGGTACGACTATATGCTATATGCAGCTAAACGGTTTACATGTAAAACTTTCCCATTCCGTTGATGTTTGAGTTTTACTCTATACACCAGATCAGTAATCTTTTCGAGAATTTCGGCTGGTCCGACCCAATCAGATTGGAGCTTCGGGCATTTTCCTTTACTACGTTTTGGTAAGTAGACCCAAACTTGCTGGCCTGTCTTAAATTCTACAGGATTAGACCTTAAATCATTCCGGTATTTCATACTTTCGGCACTAATTGTTAGGTTCTCTCACGCTAATATATGTATACTTTGCATTGTGTTTTGAATTTCCGAAACAAATTGGGCTGCGTTTACTTCCTGCTTAGGTCGCGCACCAACGATAAGGTCTAAGGGTAAACGAATATCACGACCAAAATTTAGAATTGCCGGCGAATAACCAGTTGATTCGTGGGTTTACGATCTATAGGTTAATAAGGCTAACGGCAGCAACCTGTCCCAGTTTCTCTGATTTTCATCTACAAATTTAGCTAAATAATGTAACAACGTTCGGTTAAACCTTTTTACCATTCCATCTGATTGGGGCCTTAATGGTGTCGTGCGAGTTTTTTCTGCTCCTAGTATTTCAAATACTTTTTGGAAAACTTGAGACTCGAAATTGCGACCTTGGTCCGAATGGATCAGAAAGGGAACTCCAAAACGACATATTACATTTGTGACCAATTTTGAGTTTTTCCATCTTTTTGGAAAGACAATTTTGTAGGACATTACGGATTTTGCTATAAAATGGTGCAATAATAATTACTTAAAGCCTCATTTTGTGAAAATACTCCAAAAAGTGCCATTTTTCCATATAAACGCATTTACAAATTTTGACGGCGATTCGCGGGCTCTTACCCTC